CGCCACCATCGCCGCACCTCCGCCGTAGCCGTGCTCCCCTTCGTTTCCACGCCGCGCCACCGTGTCCAGAAGCTCCGCCGTCCTCCACTTCTTCGAGCTAGTCGAGCCCCGAGCGCTCGCGTGCCCCGAAGCCGCCGCACCAACCTCGCCCGAACCGCCATCGCCAGAGATCCCCTTCGCCGTCGCCGCCGCAGCAGCTCGTCCCCGACCACGCCGTCCTCTCCATCAAGACCGCAGTGAGCTGGGCTAACTTCCCCTTCCTCTCTTTCTCTCTCTCGTGCACCACAGCGAGCACACCAAGCTCACCCGCACGCGCCGTCGCGGACCTCGTCGCCGACGTGCTTCCGGCCACACTCCGGCCACAAGATGGTGTCCATCTTACTCACCGAGTCCCACAACACCTAGCTAGCCACTCCACGAGCCTCACCGACCCCTCTAGCGCCAAGTTCATCTTCGACCGAACCCCGGTGGCCGCCAAAGTCGTCGCCGGCGCCAACTCCGGCCACCCCGACCCCAACGGACTCCGCCAAGAGCCGCGGTTTGTCCTCAGCTCCACTCCGGTGGTCTCCGCGGCCCATTTGGTGGCCGAAATGGCCAAAACCACTCCCGCCGCCGCGTCGGGCTCACCGGCGGCTAAACGCCGGCGTCGCTGGTTTTGACTTTGACCACGGGTGGGCCCTGGTTGACTCCCCTGAGTCAATGACAGGTGGGGCCCAGCCCTGTTAATTATACAGGATTAGTTTTAATTAAATCTTAATTAAAATAACCACCCTGACATGCGGGACCCACTGTCAGGTTTGACCCAGACCTGTTCCGTTGACCTGCTGACGTCACACTGACGTCAGGCTGACGCAGTAATTGATTTTCTGGATTTAATTTAAATCAGGAAATTCCAGAATATTATTTAAACTTCAAAAATTCATAACTTTTATTCTGTAACTCCAAATTGGACAAATTATATATGAAAAATGATCAGAAAAATCCAATCTATCCATCTGTACTATTTTCATGCATGATCAAACAAGTTAAATTGATGTTTTAAGCAGAACAAGGAAAAGCACTTTAAAAGGCCATGTTTGAGTTTGAAGTTTGAATCTTTGATTCAAATTTGTTCAAACCCTTCTGGTTTTAGTTGCATTAGCCCAACACACTCATATTGCCATGTTTCATGCATGCATCATATTGTTGCACATTGTTTGGTGATGGTTGTGTATCGGTGTCCTTTGCGACAGGTTCTGCCTCCGAGGAGTACCGTGATTACCCTAACGAAGAACTGTATCAGTGCATCGACCCATCAGGCAAGCAACTAACCATTTGATCATATCGATACAATCCCATGTTCTCGCTCCTGCTCTCTTTTACTGCATTAAGACAACGCGTTTCAAACTGCTGTGTGCTACGGTAGTTGAACCCATTTCCTCTGCATGACCTGTCATTGCCACAGTAACTAGATGAAACCCACTAGCATGTGTAGGAGTTGATTGAGCCATATGTATGTGTTGTTCCTACCTTGCTATGCCTGCTATGCTTAGAGTCGTGTCAGGTCTGGTTCATCTGGGTGATGGCTAGAGTGAAATGATTATGTCGGAAATGAGAGTGGTGTGGTGAACACGATTTGGTAAAGGTATCGATGAGAGGCCATGTAGGAGTACATGGTGGGTTGTTTCATTGAAGCCGACCTTAAGCACTGAGATCTGTATGTGTGATTTAAGATACAGCTACTACCATGCATTGGGCCCTGAAATATGACCCCGCTCGACTTCTTAATCACCCTAGCTCTCTGTCCAGGAGTTGCAAGTAGTTTCTGGTGTTTGTAGCCTACTGGAGGCCGTGGACAGCGCTGACCGTAGGGGTGGGCTGTGATGCGGTAGGTACGTGGTCGGGTGTACCGAATACCCGTTAGGTATCTCGGGAACCCTGTTCACATCGTTCGGGGCCGTATGGGAAACCTCGGCCGGACTCCCTGCGGATGGAACCTGAATAGGCGATAAACCTGGACTAGAGGCTTAAGTGTTTAGGTAGGTCGTGGTCTACACCCACGTCGGCTTTCGCTTGAAGTCTGCCGAGCACATGTCGTGTGCAGACGCTAAGTGGTGGAAACATGTATGAAGAAGTACACCCCTGCAGGGTTATCATAATCTATTCGAATAGCCGCGTCCGCGGTAAAGGACTACTTGGTTGCCTATACAGTTCATAGACAAGTAAATGGAAACTACTAAAAGCCTCAAGATAAGAGTGAGTGCCGAGGATGGCTCTTCCGTAGGAAGACGGAGGCGGATCCTCGATAGTGTATTGAATTGGTGAGTAGTGGACTCATGTGCGCAAAACCATTTCAAGTTGGAGTATCGTAGGATAGCCTAGCCAAGAGTCAAAGCTGGCTTGCTGCAATAACTCCACCAACCCTTCTTGATACTAAGCATGTATGTAGGATCTGATGTAAGTCTTGCTGAGTACCTTTGTACTCATGTTGCTATAATCTACATTTTTACAGAAGACGCTGCAACCCCTTCTGATGGATTTTATGTAGACGTTGACATCAACGAGTAGGCTAAAGACCCAGGTGGTGACCCTGAGCTTGTGAAGGACCTTGTAGTATAGCTAGGCTTTCCAAGCCTCTTTTATTTTACTAGTTGTCTGTACTCAGACAAGTTACTTCCGCTGCTGGTTTGTATGACTGTATGACTTGTATGTTGGGTCGTGAGACCCGTACCTTTGTTTATGTTATGTATGGCCCTCTGAGCCTTAAATAAAGTACTTGTGTCGTAGAGTCATGTTGTGATGCTTCGTTGTATTTGCACATATCGAGCATATTGTGTGTATGATTGAAATGCTTGGTATGTGTGGGATCTGACTATCTAGTTGTTTATCTTTAGTAGCCTCTCTTACCGGGAAATGTCTCCTAGTGTTACCGCTGAGCCATGGTAGCTTGCTACTGCTCTGGAACACTTAGGCTGGCCGGCATGTGTCCTTCTTCGTTCCTGTGTCTGTCCCTTCGGGGAAATGTCACGCTTTGAGTACCGGAGTCCTGTTAGCCCGCTACAGCCCGGTTTACCGGAATCCTGCTAGCCCAGTGCTACAGCCCGGACCCATTTGCTGATGACCGACACGTTCGAAGCTGGGTCATGGATGCCTGTCCCTGTAAGTCTGTGCCACTTTGGGTTTACGACTAGTCATGTCAGCCCGGGCTCTTTATCATATGGATGCTAGCGACACTATCATATACGTGAGCCAAAATGCGCAAACGGTCCCGGGCATAGGTAAGGCGACACCCGTGGGGATACCGTGCGTGAGGCCACAAGGTGATATGAGGTGTTACCGGCTAGATCGATGTGACATCGAGTCGGGGTCCTGACAGGACCCATAAGAGGTCAAGACTGAGAAAGACATTGTCACTGCAGCCAACAACTGTGGTGCAGCTGACATTGCATAATAACATAACCGTGTAGGCACCAACAGTCCCCTTAAATACCAGCAAGCATCAAGATTTTGCTGACTAGGCATGAATTTCCCGAGTTATGGACATACTTGTCTGTTTTGCTCAGTTTTCGGGCTGTTCTTTCATTGAAAGGGGCCTTTCACAGTATTACTTGCAATTGTCAGATATTTTAACTAGAAAGTTCTCAGTTTTTGCAAGAGAATTTCTGATATGCAACCAGTTTGACATTGAGCATTCGGATAAGAGCCCTCATGGGAGGCAAGCATCCAAAGCCCAGCTGCACGCAGTTGCCGTATCTGGAATAGTTTTAGAGCCAGTGAGGGCAGCCAACATCAACAAAGAGCGAGGTTCAGATACCAAGAATCATGTCTGCAGAAAGTAGAATAAAATCCATGAAAAAATATGATGCGCAACGTTTAAATCTGCAGCACAGCTATGTTAAATGAATAATATTTGCATTTACAAACACAACTACCCTAATTATTATTTTTGCCTAATTAGGTCCGCAGAAAGTGGAATAGAACTCGGGAGAACTATGGATGCGTCTTTTTTTGTGAGAAAAAATATGCCCTGCATCGTTCAAATCTGCAGTGCAACTATGTTAAGTGCATCATATTTGCGTTTACAAACACAACTACCCTGTAAAAACTTTGCCTTAAGTAATAAGGATGTGAACAAGGAAGCTTTGAACGAAATTATGATCATGTGAAGAATAGTAATCAAGAAATTTAAAGCTAACAACTATGGTCTAAGGTGAACGCAGAATAACAGTGAGAATAAATTTCAGAACCTTGCAACTTCTTACAAGAATTTTCTGAATGAGAACTGAGACAGCTGAATTTTTGGCCATGTGGTGCAAAAAGAAAACATAATTTACATATCAACACAGGAAACAATATACTCTGCTAGGAATAGCATAGGATCAAATTCACGAACCTATCTGTGTATCAGAGGCTTCGGATTGTAGAACATATGTGACGTGTCAGTGAACAACTCACTGCTATGAATAAGCATACCATGAATTGTATCTTGAGAAGTAGGAATCTAGGGTATAGAAAATTAGAGATAACCTTCATATGCATATGGATTTTGTTGAATATCTCCAACAAAGTTGTTCTCCTGTACAAAAAGAAACATTCAGAATGGTAAATCATACGATAATATGCATCAGGCAACTTAAATCTAGACTCAATGCTGAGCCATCACAGTTTCTTCAGACTATCAACAACAAACCTTCTTTCTTCTCACATGTTTATGCACAGGGGACGCCATTCCTGCCATCAAGCAGTTCTTACTAGATACACTAGTGAAAGTCAGGTCATATAGATCTTGGCCTGGAAGAATTATAAGACCAGTGAGTATGCAAGATGAAAATTTTGACCAACCAATATTGTGAAATAACTTTCTAAGGAGTCATGGCACATATAAGAACAGCGTACCATTTTACTATAGCAAGCTGCAGAACAGTGACCACCTACTGTAGAATATTTCTTCCATATCAGTTGCAAGCAATTAGATTGTTCTCCCTAACTAAGCAATAAGTGCAGCATTCTTTTCTTGAAAGCTAGAGGGTTCTTTTTGAGATCTTATCAGATATTTCAGAAGCTAGAGCGTGTCTATTGTTCGCGTAGCATGAATTGATGAAGCCAGTATAAGTTACATGGTCAACAACTGAATCCCCATCCAAAACCCTTTTTAGGAAAAGACTTGCATCGTCCACATTTGCCGTAGCACTGAGCTTTCTAACTAGCACATTTGTTGCATGAATCTGTCGCCGTTTATCCAGTCTATCCAAGATTGATAGAGCAACACTTGTCCTTCCCCTCCTGCAATATTCAAAAGCTAAAGTGACAGGAGTTACTTCACATGGCACCAAATGTTTATCAAGCATGCCCTCATATAATGCCCGTGCTTCCTCTAGTCTTGATTCCTTGCAGAGCCCACTTATTAGAGCTCCATAAGTTATAGAGTCGGCGAGGCATCCATTTTGAACCATTCTATAAAAGACCCTCAAAGCTGAGGTTGATTTGCCAACTTTACAGTAGCCTGCAATCATTGAGGTATAAGTTTGTGTGGTTGGCACTAATTCTAACGTGAGACACTTGTCAAACAGCTTTTGGCTTTCTTCCATTTGTCTCTGCTGGCAATATGTAGCAATAAGGGTGGTGTATGTTTCTATGTCAGGATGGCAACCATTTTCAATCATCCGGTTGAACAAATCTAGAGCATATGTTATGTGACCTTGTTTGCAGTGTTCAGTTATGAATATAGTATATGTCACTTTATCAAGCTCAAGCCCTTGAGTAGTGGCCCTCCGGAGCACCTTATAGGCCTCTTCAATTTTTCCTTTCTTGAGGAGGCCATCAATGACAGCATTGTATGTGTAAATGTTGGGCAGGAAGCCTTCATGAGTCATCTTATTCATCAGCTCAAAGGCACGATCGAAGCTGCCTGTTTTGCAGTGGCCACTGATCAGCGTAGTGTACGTGTTTGTGTTTGGTGCCAACCCCTGCTCAACCATCCTTCCAAGAAGCATCTCAGCTCGAGCAAGCTTACCCTCATTACAGTACCCTCCAATCATCACAGTGTATGTATGCACATTCGGCTTGTATGAACTACTCTTGATGAGCTTCAAGAAAAGCCTGAACGCCCGCTCCCTCCACCCAATCTTACAGAGCCCATCAATCAACGACGTGTGTGTGTACACATTCGGCTTCAATCCTTTTCCGACCATCTCCTCCAGTACACGGAACGCCTGCTTGACATGCCCTCTTTTGCACAAACCATCAATCCACACAGTGTAATTCACCACATTTGGTGGGGTGCCCGTCTCCAGCATCCTCCTGAAGAACTCAGACACATCCCTAAATCGGCCCTTCTTGCAGAAGGTGCGCACGACCACCGTGCACGTCGCATTGTCCAGGCAGAATCCCTGCCCCCACATTGCCGCCAACAGGGCTTCCACCTCCTCCACCCGGCCTTCCCTGCAGCACCCTAGGACCAGCGCCCGGAAGCTGCGCTCATCAGGGCACACCCAGCCACGGGTCACCATTCCGTCGAACACCTTGCGCGCGTAGGCGAAGTTCCTGGTGTCCAGCCCGGCCCTGAGGATCCAGTTGGCCGTCTCGACGCAGAACGGGAGCCCGTGGCTGCGCATCTCGAAGACCATGTCCGCGGCCTCAGGGAGACGGCCCGCCTCGGCGAAGGCGGCGACCATCCGGCGCATGGCCTCGTGCGCCATGGGGAGGCTGCCCCTCGCGACGAAGGCGGTCGCGGCGGTGACGTAGAGACGCATGAGGTGGCGCACGTCCGGGCGGGACGCCAGGCGGCGGAAAAAGGCGAGCGCCGCAGCGGAGCCATCGGATTCCGCGAGCGAGGAGAGTGCCGCGATGGCATCGTCGGGGGCGAGCGCACCGGGGTCGTGGTCGCCGAGCGAGAAGATGTGGGGGGCGGCATCTGGGGTGCAAAATGGAGGCGGAGGCGGGGGCGGGGCGCTGGCCGTGTTTGTGGTGGAGAAAGGTGGGGGCTTGAGTACGAAATGGAGGAGGGGGCGCCCATGGCGATGGCGAGAGAGCATCTGCATGGAGCTTCTTGCTGCTCTGCTGGTGCGGCTCCTTTCCTGCCCTCTGAATAACTTTTTTTTTCTTTTGAGGGGTGCCTCTGAAAGAACCGTAGCGGGGGAAGGCGGAGCCCGTGCAAATGCTTGCTGTGGACAAACCTGGACAGATGGGCCGGCCCGGCACGGCACGACCTGGGTTATACGGGCCAGGCACGGCACAGCACGGCTAGGCACGCTAATTAGATGGGCCGTGCCATGGTGTCTTCCATAGCCGAAATCACTATTTGAGTGAAATCATTAATAGAGGAGTACTTCTTTTAAAAGCATCCCTCAAAAAAAACTTCTTTTAAAAGTCACTTGCATCTCCGTAGGTTGCGACAAATGGCACGCTGCATATATGCCATTTGTCGCAACCTGAGAGTTTTCCTTTTTTTTAGATACGTTTATTCAAAATATTTTATCTCCTAAACCGTGCGTCTGAATCTCAAGCCATTTTTATCATTGGAGCATCAAGATCTTCACAATTAGATCTCATGTTCATAGGTTTTGACAAAAAAAATCTCAAAAAACCTGGACGAAAAACCATGCCTCTCACGAAAGAAGAAAAATAGAAAACGTGTTTTTTCCTGTTTCTGAGAGGCAAAACCGTGCCTCTAGCGGAAGCACAACTGTGCATCTCATGTAATGAAAAAAAAAGAAGGGAAAATGCGGTTTTTTTCATCACGAAGAGGCATGGCCGTGCCTCTCGCGGAAGCAAAACCGTGTCTCTCATGGAAGGAAAAAAAACGTGTTTTTTCGTTTCCGAGAGAAACGGCCGTGCCTCTCGTGGCAGCAAAACCGTGCCTCTCACGAAAGGAAAAAACGCGTTATTTTCGTTTCTGATAGGCATGACAGTGCCTCTCACAGAAGCAAAACCTTACCTCTCACGAAAGAAAAAGAAGAGAGAGAACAAGTTTTTTTCGTTTATGAGAGGCACATCCGTGTCTCTCTCAGAGGCAAAATCGTACCTCTCACAAAAGAAAAAAATAAAAACGAGTTTTTTTGCGCAAAAAAGTCGAATCATACAAAAGCTAAGAAAGACCTGTGGAAAATCAAAATGACAAAAAACCGGGAAAAACCCGGCTAAAAGCTGAATATGCGTGTGGAAAAATAAAAAAAATCCAGAGGAAGCATCTAGAGCGCAACACGTAGCGGCGGCTGAGAGCACGCTAAGTGATCGTTGGGAGGCTTCCGAATGAGCGCTCGTCAACTAGTTGGTCTCCTGATTGAGGAGTACTTCTTTCAAAAGTCACTTCACCCTATGTGCGTCACTTGTCGTGATTTGGGAGTTTTCTCTTTTCCGTAGATCCATTTATTCAGAACGTTTTATCTCTTAAACTGTGCATTCAAATCTTGAACCGTTTTTGCTGTTGGATTCCTCGCGTCGAGATTTTCAAAACTAGAGCCCATGTTGATAGGTTTTGACGAATTTTTTTCTAGAAAAAACGGACCAAAAAACTGAGCCTCTCACTGAAAGATAAAACACGTTTTTTTTACTTTCGAGAGGCACGGCTGTGCCTCTCGCAGAAGCAAATCGGTGCTGAAGCAAAACCATGCCTCTCGCATAAGAAAAAAACACGTTTTTTTGTTCCCGAGAGGCACGGCCGTGCCTCTCGCAGAAGTAAATCGGTGCTAAAGCAAAAGCGTGCCTCTCGCATATAAGGAAAAAAAACACATTTTTTTTCTGCGAAACCGTGCCTCTCGCGGGAGGGAAAAAATAAAAATATATTTTTTTCGTTTCCAAGGGGCATGGCCGTAAGTTTCGCGAAAGCAAATCTGTGCCCCTCGCGAAAGAAAAAATATATAAAAAACACGTTTTTGTCGTTTCCAAGAGGCACGACCGTGCCTCTTGCGGAAGCAAATCCGTGCATCTTGCGGAAGCAAAAAAAACATGTTTTTCGCATAGAAAAATCATTTTTTTTTAAAAGCTAAGAAAGACTGGTGAAAAACTGAAAAGCAAAAAAAACAAAAAACATCTAAAAAATTAAAAACGTGTGCAAAAAAGAAAAAGAAATTCAGAGAAAGCGCCAAGAGTGCGACACGTGGCGGTGGCTGAAAGCAAGTAATCCTTGGGGGCTTCTGGAGGAGCGTCCCTTGATTAGTTTTTTTTTTTTTTTTTGAGGGATGCGTCCCTTGATTAGTTGCTTCCCACAACACTACTATTAAACAGGCTACCGCTCAAAAAATACTATTAAAGGGGCTGGGCCATTGGCACGTTTAGCCGTCAGCCCACCTATTATTCAAGCTATTGAGCTGCCTATTGGCCTAAAAGAAAAAACTAAATGGATCTTGTCGTGCCAGTACCGGTACGTGTGCCCAGCCTCCAGGCCCGGGCAAGGCCATAGGCAGGCCACGTGCGGGGCACGACCCCGTTAACCACACGTGGGGCCGGCCCATCATGGGCCGGGTACATGTGCTAACTGGCCGGTCTGCCAAGCACAGCCCAGTTGACGAGGTTGGGTTGTGGACGGGGCGCGGCTTTTCATAATAATACCCCCGCTAAACTAAATGTGAATGAATGGGGAGGTTTTGCAAGAAAAGGTTATTTTTGAAGGGTGAAAAGGTCATATAAGGGATCTGCTAGATGTCCTTAATCATTTGAACCGAATTTTTTCACCTCAAATATGGTATCTGCTAGAGATGTCCTTATGTACCAACATTTTACATGGAGGTGCATTGTTTCCTTGAATAATCAGAAAATGAAATGAATGCAAGGCGTGTTCCTATTGTATATACTTGCAAGATTTCCCTCTTTGGCAATTGTCATTTATCCCTGGATTAACAAGTGCTCCTCTTGCCAATCAACAACGCAAACGCATTGGCCTACCGCCGCAGCAAGTACACGGACCAAGAAAAGGAAAAGGAAGGTAGGAGTATACAACGGATGCCCGAATAAAAGTGAAATTTATTCTTGATTAAAATAAAATAAATAAAAGGGAAGCACGCGTTACATTTGTAAAGTACTGTATATTTTATTCGTTGTCACAGCATCTCATGTCATGCACACTGCATATATAGATGCATGCAACACGTGCTAGCTGGTTCTCAGGGCTCCAGGGTACGCATGTGGGCGCGGATCACTCATCGCTGCAGGTACCGAAGCAGTTCCTCTCGTTCGCGCCACGACAGGCGTCGCAGCTTCGAGCTGCATAGTTGCACACCTCACAGCTGCCGGTGCATGGATTGCCGGTGCAGTTGCTGCCCGCTTCGTTGTTGCATGCACCGCTGCAGTCCTCGCGACTGCAGATGCCGCAGACACCGGCAACGCCGTTGCACGAAGAGCTGCAGATCGAGGCGACGGAGGCTGCACAGTCTTTGCAGAGCATCGTTTCCGACGCCGGTGCCGGAGGTGGCGATGGTGGTGATGGTGGAAGAGCCGGAGGCGGTGGCGTTGCTGGCACTTGAGAGTGACCGCAGCGCCCCAGAGAAGGCACGACCAGAATGGCGAGGATGGCGGCGATGGCGGCTGCCTTGAGAGCGAGAGCGGATGAACCCGGAGCCATTGCTTTGTGGTGTGGACTGTGCACAGCAAAGCAAGGGTAAGCTTGAGTGGAAGATCTGCACATCAGCAAGAGAGGGAGACACGGAATGACATGTGATGGCTTGATATGCACATACGATGGTATTTATAGGCGCTCAAGATACGAAATCTTTGGTATGGCTATTATAACTTGTCCTGTCATGTAGTCTAAACTATTTGTGTATAGGTCAAGAGCACCAAGTTGGGAGTTGAGATCTGCGCCATGCATGGCAGGTTGACTTCAAATCATATTCACCTTGACCGGGCAATGTCGGTTGGATCTCTCTGGAGGAGACTAGAGCAAACTGAATTACTCTTGAGAGTATCTTGAGTCTCGAGGGCTGCCTTGTTCTGGAGGATATTGAACATATATATTTTTTTGAACATACTAGCACAAATGCCCGGGTGTTGCAACGGGAGAAAAGTTGATGTGTATTCAATTATGTGCAAAACACATATGTTGTTCATGAAAATTGTGCTTGCAAAAAAGTCCCTTGTGTTGCAATGGATACTATAAAATAAATTTGAGAGTTTGTTTGGTCACCTTTCCTTTTGTGTGAAACTACTGGCATGCAATGTTGATCCTTGAAAACAAAAAATAATACGATTTATATTTACATGTGACATTGACTTATAAAGTTTTTACCATATTATCAATCAAATAGAAACCATTTTCATATATTGCACAAGCAATTGAGAAATAAAATTATTATTGTGTTTGGATCAAAATTACTACCTTTGCTTCCCAAGAAAAAAAATCCACTACACATGATTCTCAATATGAGCAAATCTTTGTATAAATCTATGCAAATCAAATCACTAAAGTTACTCACCAAGATGCATGATGTGATTTCAAAGCAGCAAGTGAAATATAAATTTGTAGAATTTGCTTAAAGGAAGATAATCATCTGCCCCAACATTTTCCGGCTGCTATGAAACTGGGTCCCTCTATGTCTTCCATATTCCATAACTGGGGCCCTTCTATCTTTGCATCTGTCTTTTGGTGAACAAATTGAACTTATTTAACTTGTATGTGAAAAATATTCAAGAACCAACCACGTCAGCATCGTCTACCTGGTGGAATATATTCGACCACTCGCTTACGGGTACGCCTGCACTGGCCAAGTCAGCTTAGGGCAACTATATTCCATCCAGATATATCAGATAGCACCCGATACAAATATATATTGTTTCGGGCACCGGCCACGTCAAATTAGATTTTGTTTCTTTTCTTTTGTACTATTTGAACTTGGTCATGGTCACCATTTAAAAAAACAAACTTTTATATGTTCCCCATCACAGGTAAATTTCGGGTGGATTGTCAAAAAGAAAAAGGAAATTTCAAGATGCAGAGTTGTTAGTTGTCACATTCTCTCTACTCTTGGGTAGAAATATATATTTACAATATTTCACTCATTTACTTATTCTATCCGCTGATGTATTCATAAGATGTTGTAGGCTCGAA